TCATTAGAGAGACGCAAATCAAAACCACATTGAGATACCATCTCACGCCAGTTAGAATGGCGATCAGTAAAAAAATCTGGAGACAACAGATGCTGGAGAGGATGTGGAGAAGTAGGAACACTTTTACACTGTTGGTGGGAGTGTAAATTAGTTCAATCATTGTGGAAGACAGTGCGGCGATTCCTCAAGGCCTTAGAAATAGAAATTCCATTTGACCCAGCAATCCCATTACTGGGTATATATCCAAAGGACTATAAACCATTCTACTATAAGGACACAGGCACACGAATGTTCATTGCAGCACTGTTTGCAATAGCAAAGACCTGGAACCAACCCAAATGCCCATTGATGACAGACTGGATTGGGAAAATGTGGCACATATACACCATGGAATATTATGCAGCAATCAGAAATGATGAGTTTATGTCCTTTGTAGGGACATGGATGAATCTGGAGAGCATCATTCTCAGCAAACTGACACAAGAGCAGAAAATGAAATACCGCATATTCTCACTCATAGGTGGGTGATGAAAAATGAGAACACATGGACACAGGGAGGAGAGTACTAAACACTGGGGTCTATTGGGGGGAAAAGGGGAGGGCCAGCGGCGGGGGGTGCTGGGGAGGGATAGCCTGGGGAGAAATGCCAAATGTGGGTGAAGGGGAGAAAGGAAGCAAAACAAACTGCCATGTGTGTACCTATGCAACTGTCTTGCATGGTCTGCACATGTACCCCAAAACCTAAAATGCAATAAAAAATTTTTTAAAAAAATGTAAAAAGCAATGACAAACTGAATATTAACAATATTCATATCTTCATGACACTTCAACCTCTTAATTATATTTTTGTGTATAAACATTCTGAAGGTACTTCCAATTCCTGCTGCTGATATAGATATATTACATGAAAACACAGTCTAGTTCCCAAACATACACCAACATCTACCAAACATAAAATTGCTCTGACTTCAGAAAGAAGAAAGCATACAAAATACCACAGCACTCTCATTCTTCCATCTCCTAGTCATACAAGGCCTCATCTTACATATCCAATACTAGGACTCCATGAAAGTAGGATTGTAGCTTTCTGGAATTCAACTTTAAAAACTATAAGTCCATGGTAGACAAAGAGGGATGAGCAGAGCTGAAAAATAAAAGAGGTTCCTGTTGGCAAGAGATGGAAACCAATGGCCTAGCTTCAGAGTTTGGAGGCTCTATATGTCATCCAGGCGTCTGGCTTATTCTATTGAGGGTAGGCAGGGATAAGTAAGGTTTTAGAAGACCTCTGATAGAAAACAGCCCAAGGCTAAGCCATTTCCTTCCCACCTGATCCTCATGAACAAATCAGTTTAAAATGGACAAGGACCAGGAAAATATCTCATTATACAGGATTATCTGCTGGCCAGAACTCATTGCCATCAGACCAACAAAGCCCTGTTTCTAGAGGCCTCTCTGAGCACCTGGAATGGCTTTATTAAACAGAACCTCTCTTTGTAATAGGATTTTACCCAGTTGCATGTTTAAGACTAGCAATTTGGAAAGAAAAGACTTTCCTTAGAAAAACACCTTAAATATAAATATCCCAATGCAAAAATCTGAGGAACAAGCCTAAACTATTGGAAGAGATAGTTATGCCTGAATGAAACTACTGTAATTTAGTTTGAAAAGCATATTGCTGAGGTACTGCTTTCACAGAAGGGTAGGATTGGGCTTTGTTTGATTTGGCACTTCCATTATTTTTACAAAATAGGATATTGTTTTAAGGACACAGGCATAGTAGTTTATAAAGTTACCATGGTCATAAGAATGTCTAAGGTCATTGTATTAAATTACTTTCTGCTGCTGGATCAGTTTTTACTTCTACAACTTGCTGTATTCTCAAGAATTTTAAAAACGAGATTGCAAAAGAGAGTTTAGAAATGTAGCTCACCATAATCTAATCTATAAATGCAACTACTAAAGGAATGGAGTTGCTTTTGTAATAAAGTGAATAATGAGAGGACAGTTCCAGATATTTAATTATCTACCAGGATGTTCACATTGTTTTCTACTAATTGGGTAAATCTGCAACAGAACCAATATCCTGCCTAGCCACTTACAGAGCAGTTTAATGCAATTCTGATCCTAGACTGGATCCTACGCTAGAGGAAAAAAAGTATATTATCTACCAAGGGCCTTATTGGGTCAACAGACAATATTGGCAAATGAAAGGCAAAGGATTGTAACCCTACTAAATTTATTGAGGTTGAAAACTGTAGTATGTTTTCTGAAAAGAATAGTCTTATTGTCAGAAAATATATGCTAAAGTATCAGGGAATAAAAGGCCATAAAATTAAGAAAACTTATTTTGGGGCCGGGCGCGGTGGCTCAAGCCTGCAATCCCAGCACTTTGGGAGGCTGAGGCGGGTGGATCACGAGGTCAACAGATTGAGACCATCCTGGTCAACATGGTGAAACCCCGTCTCTAGTAAAAAAAAATACAAAAAATTAGCTGGGCATGGTGGCGCGTGCCTGTAATTCCAGCTACTCAGGAGGCCGAGGCAGGAGAATTGCCTGAACCCAGGAGGCGAAGGTTGCAGTGAGCCGAGATCGCACCATTGCACTCCAGCCTGGGTAACAAGAGCGAAACTCCATCTCAAAAAAAAAAAAGAAAACTTATTTTGTCCATGTATGTATGTGTATATAAGCATATACTTATATATTATATATCACATGTTATATAATACATAAGCTATTCTACAATACATATTTTATAATGTAAAATCTGTATGTGATTTTTTTTCTTTCTTTCTTTCTTTTTTTTTTTTTGACATGAATTCTCTCTCTGTGGCCCAAGCTGGAATACACAATCTTGGCTCAATGCAACCTCCACCTCCCAGGTTCAAGTGATTCTCCTGCCCCAGCCTCCCAAGTAGGGAGGGACTATAGACATGAGCCACCAAATCTGGCTAATTTTTGTATTTTTAGTAGATACAGTGTTTCACCATGTTAGCCAGGCTGGTTTTAAACTTCTGGGCTCAGGTGATCTGCATGCCTCAGCCTCCCAAAGTGTTGGGGTTACAGGCATGAGCCACCGCGCCTGGCTCTGTAGGTATATTTTTTATGCAGAGAGAACAAATTATAGAGCAATATGTTAATAATAGGTAAATGTGGGCATGGGTATATAGGTATTCTTTGTACTGTTGTTGCAACTTTTCAAAAGTTTGGAATTCTGTGCAAATAAAAAGATTTTTTTTTTTTAATTGAAAAGAAGGGGGGAATTGAAGCTTTCCCCAGACAGGCTTCCAGTAAATAACTGTCTTATTCAGGTTTATGTAGGCTTAGTCTGATAGGACCCAAATAGGATGTTTGCCTCTGTCCAATTTTCACTCGACTTTTGATCATTTACATCATCTTTTGGCTCCCCTGAGCCACAGTGGAAGAAGAATTGTCTTGGGTAACATAAAATACACCAACAATAGCTGATAAGCTAAAAAAAACTCATAATGTTTTAAGAAAGCTTATGAATTTGTGTTGGGCCACATTCAAAGCTATCCTGGGTGATGGATTGGACAAGCTTGATTTACACAAATCAACAAGGGGCAGCAAAATGAGTTGCAAGTTTTTTTTTAACTTTATCTAAATTTTTCATTATAGAAGTAGCATGTACTTAGTACAGAAAGCTTGGGGAAAGTACAGAAAACTAATAAAGAAAAAAAAGTAAAAGAAACCCACACATAAATCCCACCCACCACACTGGGGGAAAAAATTGTTATTTTGGCCGATTTCCATTCAGTCTTATTCACAAGCTTTAAGACAGTTGGAATTATATTCTATAAAGTATGTAGGTTGGTGCATTTTTTCTGTAACCTAGATTTCCTGGCTAAAATAAAACATTTCATAAAATCTTCAATGTCTACATGATAGTCCATTCTAATTTACTTGTTATTCCTCTAAAACTGTCCCTCTGTTATTTTCAATTTCTATGAGACACAACACTGAGTTAAAAGTTTACGATCTTTGTGCTTACATCTTTGTTTCGGTATTTCTGTTTATACGTTTATGATAGATTCACAAGAATGGAATTGCCATGCCAAATGGTATAAATATTTGTGAGACTACAGAAAGCCAAACTGCTTTCTGGAAAAGTAGATATACCCCTTTCTCTTTGAGGGGAGACAACACACCTGAATGGGGTTATCAAAACTGGGCTGAAGTTTCATTTAGGATTTAAAGAAAGGAAAGTTACTGCACAATCCTAAAAACTACAGTCTTCAGATCAAACTTAGCTCTGGGACAAATTCTGCGAGCTATTTTTTGTCCTCAAAAGAGGAAAGGCCAAAATATTCCAGCCTGTATTCAACACAGGCTGACTACCAGGGAAGGGATGCAATGCCAAGACTCAGATGATGACCGACATATTCTGCTTTTGGGATCTACAATCCAAACGACCATCCTACCCTCCTGACAGACATGGGATCCTAAAAATTTAAGTGGGGAAAAAATATATATATTAGGAAATTGTCAGGAATCTAAAAGCAAGATTCTGATTGAAAAAGGCAAACTTATGACAAGCTGGGTTTTGCCCTCTTCATTTGCTTCACAGTCTAATGTATAGGAAAAGCAAGTGCTCCAACAGCCAGGAGTCTCGTCCCATCTGTCCTGAAAGAACAACTAGCCTCTTGTTTCAATCAATGTTGCCAAACCTCTCTGAATTCAAATTTCTCATTTGTTAAATGGCAAGGTCAAACAAAGTCCCTAAGGATCACTCAGTCTCTGATTCTGCATCATTCTTCCATTTAGGTGCCAAGGGGAAAAGGAGGAAGAGAGATTATTCTCTCTGAATGCATTACTTCTAATGGGATGGTCAATCTCTTTTTCTATAACTCGAGTAGATTAAGCAGTGTTTGGTCTATGAAGGCGATTCCACAAACTATGCATTCCCATTCCTTCCGAAAACAGGGACTATGGAAAAAGTGGCAGAGAGATCTGTGAGCAAGGAGGAAAGAGAGAAGGCTCACCATGGCCATTGCAGTAGTAGATCCACTTCTCCCGGTTCTGGGTTGGCGTCATGGATTTCTTCAGCCCTGCCTTTTCCACAATGGCACTGGGATCCTGCCGGGGTCCCTTTTTCAGAGTCCTTGAGCTTTTCCGGACACTGCACACTACAATCACCACAAGCACCAGCAGCAGGAAAAGCACAATCATCCAGGGCAAATGCTCATTGATGTCAAAATGCTTGTGTAGGTTCTGTCTAGGATGTCCCCTCTTGGAGCCCTTGATGGGCGTGCTGGACTTCTCGCCCCCAGTGGCCTCCATGGACGGCAGCAGCTTCAAAATGTGTCTGTGGTGGGGGCCTTGCTGGTGGTTGACTACCTGAAGGTTTGGGAGGGTCTTGTTCATGTCTTCCTTCCCCCTTGCTGAGCTTGTGTTGTCAGGGACTGTCCCTTCCTGGATGCTACTTGGTACCTTTGGTCTAACAGAGGCAGAAGAGTTGGATTCTGTTGAGTTCATGCCTAGAAAAAAGAGTAAGGAGGGGGAAGAGCTTTTCCATATTTGGGGATCTATAAATTCCCTCCTTTCCCTGGTCATCTCCAAGTTAGGCCAGATAATCAAAGATGAGATGACCTTTGGGCCTTAAGAATAAATTATGCTGCAACATTTTCATAAAGGCCCTAACAGCACCTTCATATAGAAGGTAAAAATGGAACTAAACTCACTTTCTTACACCAAAACCAAGGGCATCCTTAAGGATCCAACATCTGAGCTTGACAGCAGCTTCTCCTGTACTTCACATACTGAGCAGACACATTTATGTGCAGAGATCTAGTCAACTCTTATTTTAAGTTTTCAGAGAATGAGTTCAAATTTAATACTTTTGTCCATCCTCCTTCTCCCATCTTTTGACTATTTCATGATGCAGTGGTAAAACTGAGACTATGACTAAGAAAAAGAAAATAATTCAAATGCAAATTTGACTAGTGAAAGACTTGGTGGGACAGGTCAGTGAATAAAAGCATCTATTATCAATAGATTAAACAAGATTTGGGCCGGTAGCTTAGTGGACTTCTTTCAGAGAAACTTCCACAAGTAATCTTCATTAAGAAGTATGAGAGATGGGAATTTTGAGTCCCAAGAGACAGGACTTGGCCTAAAGAAAGCTGGAGTGGCCATCTGAGCTCTTGGAGTCTGTTTCTTCATTTCAATTGGCAGTTGTAAAAAGGCCCTCTTCACAGGGTTATAATGAAGGCTAAATGTAATCATGCATGAGAGTACAGAGGAGGAACAACTCAAGTTGGTCATCATCTCATGAAAATTACATTCACTCAAAAAGTATTTGAAAATAAAGGTTAAATTTTATATTCTGCTTGAGGTTCTGATGGAAAGCTTGAATAATTGATACAAAGAATAAAGTTAAAATTATTGGTAAAAAATAAAGTTATTATTTTCCAGACATGAGTGCTAGTTACCTTCAATCTGATACAAATTTGCTCATTTCCTGATGCTTTTAACTTTCCTTCCCATTCTTTGCCCAACCTGGATTCAAAATCCATCCCTCGCTTCCAGATGTAATGGCATTTTCTCCCTTTCTCCCTATTTCTCTGCTCCTGGCTGAGTTTGCCTGGGACTGACTCCATGTTGGAAAACTTTTAATCTGGAAGGAACCTTAAACATCTAAATCATTCATTTGCTTGACAAATTTGAAACCGAGGCCTGAAGAGGTTAAGTGACTTACATAAGGTCACACGCTGTCCTTGTTTCTCTCGGTTCATATTTTATAGCTTGATGTGACCTAGTTTTTAGATATTTCATCTCCCCTAATAGAAAACTTCTGAGTCTAAATGTTTCTAATAAGTCCAAAGAAGCCAGATTTAATTAGCCACCATATGAAGGCCTCTTCTCCAAGGAGTGACTCTGGAATATACAAAATGGAGAAAACATCTTTGGTACAAGCCCACTCTTGGTACCTCCACTGGGCTCAAAGCCTTCCTCAAATAAATAATTCATGAGGTTAAGTTACCTTTGGGAACATAAGTGGAGGAAGGGACTTCATGGGATTCCATGTGCTCAGAGGCTGAAAAGATGGCTGTGGCAGGGGAAGGTGAGGTGGAGCTGGAGAAGGGCGGGAGTGTGCCACAGAGGTTGTCTGCCTCCTTGGTCCCCGGCTTGATCACCACCAGGTTCTGACTCAGACAGTCTGTGTATGCTTTGCATTTCATCACACTAGAAGGCACATCTGAGAAGGTACCCCGAGCACACTGCTTACACCGCACATCCTCAGTCTCTGTCCCTTTCTTCCGCACACCCCAACCCATGGGACACACTGTATGGGGGGCACAGGTAGCGTTAGACTGGAACATGCCAGGTGGGCAAGTGCATTCTCGGTCAGTCAAGGCAGCACAAGGTAATTTCTCAATCATTGGCCATGGGCATGGCTGACTACAGTCATGGCATTTCTCTATGCCATTCTCGTGCCTGGTAAAGGTCCCCACAGGGCAACGGCTGCAGACGCGCAGGCTTGTGTTGGTACAATGCTCAGAGACATAGGTTCCTGCTGGACACTTGTCACAGGTTAGCACCTGGCCGGTGGCACGGTCAACATGGCGGTATGTGCCAATGAGATTTGAGGCCTTCTGTTCTGGCTGAGCTGTGGTGGTGCTAAGGAATCCAAGCTGAAAGAAACAGAAGGGCAGGGAAGGGAAAAGAAAAAAACAAGATGTTACATAGGAGCAGAGGAGAAAAAGGGCCAACAATTCCAGCACCACCATCATCATTCCCATTAAGGATCTGACCAGGACTGCATCCTCTTGACAGCACTGCTGCAGCATAGTAGAAAAAGAGAAATGAAGACTTAGATCCCACCCTAGTGCTTGACCTACTGGCTGTGATGCCTTGGTTTTAGTGCCTGACCTTTGTCTCTGCTTCCTTATTTTCCATTTGTAAAATGAAACTGACAATGTCTCTCAAATTGATTATAAAAATCAGTTGAGAATATGCATGTGAAAACATGTTGTAGCTGAGATTTAAAATGTTATATACAGCTGGGTGTAGTGGCTCACACCTGTAACCCCAGCACTTTGGGAGGCTGAGGCATGCAGATCATCTGAGGTCAGGAGTTCGAGATCAGCCTGGCCAACATGTTGAAATCCACCTCTACTAAAAATACAAAATTAACCAGGCATGGTGGTGCATGCTTGTAATCCCAGCTACTCAGGAAGCTGAGGCATGAGAATTGCTTGAACCTAGGAAGTGGATGTTACAGTGAGCTGAGATTGAGCCATTGCACTCCAGCCCGGGTGACAAGAGCAAAACTCTACCTCAAGAAAAAAAAAGTTATATACTAGTCAAAATCCAGATGCAACAAGAAAATAATTTGCTTAATAGTTGTCTTTCTTTCCCCAACCCCAGTGTTAAACTGCCATTCCGTGAGGCCAGGACAAAGCAACTGAGAACCAGGAAGGCATGCATTCAAGTTGCCACTTCCACAGCACCAGACTGCCTGCTTGGCATTACCCGATAGTCATGGCTTGATTTTTTCAGACAGTTTGCCTACATGAAGCTAAACTTTTCATTTTTATTTTTCAAAGCGGAGGCAGGCCCTTGGCATTTTTGTAATGTGCTTTAAACAACAGAGTTGATGCTTTTTGATTCATACCCTGTTTGTTCAGACTCTGAAGACCATAGCTAGACCCAGCAAGAGGGAGTCAACAGGCACTTGGGGAAAGGCAATTATATTTGTGGGACTAAATCCTGAGGTACTTCTGAGAAGAGACGGGGGGAGAATATTAAGATAAAGTTTTTCTGCGTTAATGAATATTGAGAAGTTCCAACAGTTTTCACTATCCTTTATGAAGTTTATGTGTCAAGAAAATCATGGCTGCCTCAAACCATCAGCTAACCAGCAGAGCAGGATAAATTCCTTCTAAATTGGCTGCTATACCAGTGACTAAGAGAATAAATCAGAACTTTTTTCATAGTGATCAGAAAGTGTCTGTCTTTTTAGCACCTTGACACTTAATTCAAGATCCAATTTTCTCCCACCCCAAAATTTAACTAGTTGAATCAAAAGTATTTCCCTGGAAGTCCCTTCCCCTATCCCAGAGCTGCTCATCTAGTTAAATGATGATATTTAAAACTAATTTTCAGTTTATGAGGATACTTTCACTTTTTCTGTAGAGACCCTCCCCACACAAAAAAAGTACAGTTATTGATTCTCTTGTTAAGAAACTTAACCTCACATTGGAGCCTGAAAAAAACCTCCTGCTTCATGATCAATTCTGTAATGTCTTCCCCTTTCCCTTCTAACTTTACCTTTCCTTTTCTTGTTTCTTCTATTGGCAAAATAAGCCCCAGCCACCTTTTTCTGAGCAGAGCAGATGCACTGGATAACAGGACCCATCCTGTGGAGCCCAAGTTACAGTTGTCAAGAATACCAGCCAGGCACAGTGGCTCACGCCTGTAATTCCCAAACTTCAGAAAGCCAAGGTGGGCAGATCATTTGAGGTCAGGAGTTCAAGACCAGCCTAATCAACATGGTGAAACCCCATCTCTACTAAAACTACAAAAATTAGCCAGATGTGGTGGCATGCACCTATAATCCCAGCTACTCAGGAGGCTGGGGTGGGAGAATTTCTTGAGCCTGGGAGGCGGAGGTTGCAGTGAGCCGAGATTGAGCTACTGTACTCCAGCCTGGGATGACAGAGTGAGACTCCATGTCAAAAAAAAAAAAAAAAAGAATACCAACAACAAGATTAGACCCTATCTCTCCACTAAAGACCCAACCTAACAGGTTGCAAAAGTGGCTCTGCTCTGTACTTCCTGGAGTGTCTATATGAAAAACAGTTTTAGATACCTGCAGTGTTCTGAAAGTTTGAAAGCTGTATTAGTAACCCAAATGGCAGGTTATTACACTTCAATTAATGAAAGAAGAGAACTGAACCCAAGACCTGGGCAGGGGATGGTGGTCAGTGATGAATATCATCACTCTGACATGCTCTGTGATCTAAGTCAGTCTCCCTACCTGTGTGGGAGGATGAGCAGCCAGACATACCCACACACACTCATGAGGGTAGCTCTGCAGAACGAGCACAGAGGTCATGAATAGCAAGTATGTGTGTTATCTGGGTGTGGAGTTGGGGTAGGCTTCCTACAGCTTTCTGTATTTCCCCCCAAATATGCACTTCTAAATCTGAAGTAGGGAACCCTAATTACTGAGTTACCAAAGAGATTTTCCTAGCTGTACATAAAACCCACCTCCAAACTCCATAGCCCCCACACTCTTTCTCAGATTTTCAGTGGATTTTAGAGCTCTTTGTTCATTTGGAATAACAGATCAAGTTTCTAATTAAAGCAAAACTCGGCCCTGTTTAAACTGTATCATACTAGGTAACCCACTTTAGACAATGTGTCTCTAAAAACAGACCTTTAAATTACCTCATATAACAAGAGACAATTCCAGCTCCCACAAGCAGAGCCAACAAACAATGATCCCTCTGCAGTCGTGCCCAGGCTTAACATTAGAATTGAGATTTGTGCAAAAACTAGACACTATGAATTCATTAGGCAAATACTTATTGAAGACCTAGTAAGTGTGTGTAAGACACCATGCTATGGGCTGAGGACAGAACCTTGAGAACTCTATTCTAGCCCTTCTGAAATTTACAGTCTAGGCTGGGACAAACAAACAAAAAAAAGAATACACCAGTAATTTCTCAGAATTGAGATCACTGCTGAGAAAGAGAAATACAGAATCTTATGAGGAAATTTAACAGGGGTGTCCTAGCTCAGGGAAGTTAGAGAAATGTTTTGGATATAGCTCATGAGGATGGCGAAGCAGAAATTAACTCCAGGCAAGAAGCAGTGAAGAGGGGTTAGGCAGAGGGAACACCAGAGCAAAAGTGTGAAGCAGAAGGAAACTCAGCACAGGAGCTAAAAAGCTTGTGGCTCTATCTCAAGATGCAACAGAGTGGCCACAGTTACATCTGAAGAGGCTCCATGTGCTGATCTTAATTCAAAATGCAATGAGAAGTCATTAAATGTTTACATGATAAGTGGGAGGAAGAGGCATATAATTGCATCTGTGAATAAAAAAGCTATCTGCTTCAGAGAAGAGGGTGAAAGGGGCATGGGGGAGAGCAGACTAGAAAACCCAGTTGGAAGGTGAAAGCCAACATGGAAGGTGGTGGTGACTAGGACTAGGGTGGCAGATGTGGAAATGGAGAGCAGGTAACAGATTTGAGGGCTCAGGTCAGCTGAATTTGGTAAATGATTACTTAAAGAAGGGGAAAAAGAAAGAAATGAGTGGTTTTCAAATAGACCTTAAGAGAGCACTGGACAGAACACAGTTCTCAGGATGCCCCTTGGACCAGGGAGGGGTGGGAGGTAGGCTCCAAGCCCCCCATCTCTGCCTAAACCAAGCAGTTCCACTTTACCAATTTGCTAACAGGGTTTCCCAAGTAAGAATTCATTTGCAGGAGGGTTTATTCCTAAAACAAGTCTGAAAATCACTGAACTAGAGGGACCTCGAAGGCCTTTTCCAATTCCGAAGTAAACAGTTAACCCAATGTGTGCTACAAAGCTGGAGGGACTGCTCATGGACTCTTTTGCCTGATTGAAACCCTGCTGAGAAGAAGAGTTGGCAATGTCCCTTTCTCTTTACAGAGACTCAGAGGGCACTTGAGAAAAGCCATTTTCCTGGGCCTTTTAGTCAAATCATGATCTAAAACTAGGGCTTTTCCCACTAGCCTGGTGGCAATTCTCTGATTTCTGAGAAAGTTAAAACACTGTAAAAATCATTCCCAATGTTGATCAGGGAGTGAGCAATGGGTAAGGGGGGTGAGGTGGATCCCATTCAAAAGTGGCATTTAAGAATGATTTCGGCCAGGTGCAGTGGCTCACACCTGTAATCCCAACATTTTGAGAGGCCAAGGCAGGTGGATCACCTGAGGTCAGGAGTTCTAGACAAACCTGACCAACATGGAAGAACCCCATCTCTACTAGAAATACAAAAATTAGCCAGGTATGGTGTCACATGCCTGTAATCCCAGCTACTTGGGAGGCTGAGGCATGAGAATCGCTTGAACCTGGGAGGCAGATTGCAGACAGCCGAGACCACACCACTGCACTCCAGTCTGGGCAACAAAAGTGAAACTCCGCTTAAAAAAAAAAAAGGTTTCTGTATAACAGGACAACAAGTTGAGATGCCACCCAAAGCTAATGCTAGGAAAACACCTGAATCGGGGGACACAATCATTGAAAAGTGCAAGAACGTGGGAGCCTGAGGCTGAGTCCTACCTGGTCAAGATCCTTAATTCCTTCATCTGTACAGAATAGGATAAACTAGACCAGAGTTATTCAAAGCCTCAGGTCTCAAAGGCAGCATCAAAATTACCTGGGAAGCTTTTTAAAAAATTAACATCCCAGGCCCATCATCTAAGATCACTGTGGGTGATCTTTATTAGGTTTTAGCTTTGGTTCATTTTCTTTTTCAGCTTTCCTTTTTTTTTTTTTTCTCCCGGTAGTGATGCTGGCTCCCTTGGGGGTGGGGCACAGTACCCCAGAGGGGTATGAAGGTGAGTAACAGCACAGGTGAATGTCTTTAGTGTGACACTCAGCTCAGCAATTGCTCCCTCTCCCATTCATTCATTGTCCTGCAATCTTGAATACACCACCC